TTGCTACCCCAGAGAATCCAAGCTGATGGATTGGTTTTCTCGTTGATGAACTTCATCATTTCTCGGCTAAATTCTCTCCACAGTTTTATGTGCGAGCCAATCTTGTTCTCAACTAAAGTTAAGGCTGTATTTAACAAAAGAACACCCTGCTTAGCCCATTTTATCAAAACACCCTGGGTAGTATTAACACAGTAACCTTCATTTCGAGCCTCAAGGACCACCCTCAAGACGCTCTGGACAAGTCGGGGATGTACCGAGGGATCTAGACTAAAAGAGAGCCCTGTTGCTAGCCCGGGTTGAGGAGCTGGATCTTGACCCATGATTATGGCCTTCACTTTGTCAGGAGGGACCATATTAAATGCTCTGAAAATCCATCCTATTTTTGGATTTAGTCCAAACCCTTGGATTTGAGAGTCATTCATGAGGCGATCGGAGATTCCTTGCATCATTTCCTTGACGTCTTCTCGGTTGAAGAATTCTTCCCATCCTTTAGGCGGGCAGGCTGACTCGTAGATGATCTCCATAAGAGTGTGTGTTTCATAGGAGGCAGTCTCCAGTAACTCCATGCACATGTCATCGTGGGAGGCTATATCCTTAACCGAGCTTGTGTGAACACCACCTGTAAGATAAATAGAAATGTACTTAAGCTACAGTGCTTTTGTTTATGTTTCTATATCGTACATGAGTGATTCTGGAACAAACTGACCTCTGTTCACGTATTTATAATTCTTTCAGTCCAAAGAGTGATCATCATAAGCAATGTCCTAAAAAGAAGACGGTGATAAAGGACTCCAGTCTTGTAAAAGCTACGGGGAAGTACATTCCTGTGGTCATTGTTGCTCATTGTGCCGGCACGAGGTGGTTCTTACTTTAAAGTTTTAGATGAAATTCTCATATGTGACCGTTAAGTGAAAGCAGTTGAGGCTTATGAGGAACTGTTCTGTCTTCGACATTGTAAAAATTAAAAAATAAGAAACCTGCGCGCTCTAGATTTGAATACGGACTATAGCTTACCACCACAGAGAGCCAAAATACAAGCCGTTAGAACCAAAGCCACAAGCTTCATTGCTGCTTCCGGGATAACAAAGGTGGTTTACAGACAGTATTAATCTAGGAAAATAAAAATAGAAAATACTTTCACTGAGGGATGTTGTTAACTTGGGAACACAAACGTACGTCGAGGACTTACATATAGCCTAGACGGATAAAAATCCAGTCAAAAGGGATATGAAACAAATTCCTAATTTTCCCTGCTGAAATTTGCTGTTAGACTGGAACGAAAAGAAAACACCGTTTTCTTTGGCTTCTTTAAGATCAAAGAATCACCATAAAAATTGCATATTTATAAGTGACACGTATCTTCCGAAATAGTTGTGTGAAAACATTGATTGTTTAGGAATACAAAACGTCTTTCGCTTTGAATGGTTATATCTGCCATCCCTCTTTAGTGCGATTTTCCTCTTTTCCCTTTTGAGTCACAATAGACCAACGCCGGGCTTCGAGTGCAGTGCAGATATCGGCCCAAAAAAATTATCAGTCTAATTAAGTGGAGAAGAATTTATCAATTGTTGGGCAGACAAGTTTTTCTACCCGTCAGTTTGCTACGGCCGTAGCCAGAGTAGATTGCATTATAAAGAGCACGAACGTGTAAAGTTCTTCATTCTTTTAAATATTTTGCGTTTATAAAATCATTTGAGATTCTTTAGATCTATTTCGTTTCAGGGTATGTCGATCATTTGGTCCATCAGATTCTTTGACGTAGTTTCGATCTGTTAGATCTTTTGGGTTCATATAACTGAATTACATCCTCAGAACAATTTAGCCCTGGGACGTTTAGTACTAACCGTTAGAAATTTTCCTTATCAGTCTAGTTTTGAAAATCAGCGCAATAAAATACCCTAAATCTACCTATCGTTCTTTACGTGCCTTTTCTTGGCTACTATATTGAATTTTTTACATAACAAGCGGGTGAGCATTTAGCTTGAGCAAAGTCTATGTGTGATACTGTTTTTTCCATCTCTGGTCGTGTATAAGTCTATTCGTTAACGTTTTATTTTTCTAGGCTAAAAACTGTCGCTTATTATAATCCTATTAAAAAAGACTCTGGAAAGTAAAGTTGAATAACTACATATGTAACGAGAGCAAGGCTCCTGTGTAACTAATACTATAAGTGACATTGCATAATTATAAATTAACACGTATGCTTAGAAATAGCTGGGTGAAAAAAATGGTTGTCTTGGACTCCAAAACAACATCTTTGTATTCATTGCTTTGAAAAGATTGTACCAGACTTTTGACTGTTCATAAACTTTATCTCAATATGCTGTACACAAACTATCAAGGATTTGACCATTCAAAGCTTTCTTTTCGCTTTCTTGTACAATACGAAAAATACTAAAATTGCATCCACCAATATTCTTCATAAAAATTATAACAAAATTGTCGTTCAGTCTTTTTTACTACATTGTGTCTACCTGTATTGCAAATTCATGATGACATTCGATTAAATTTTGCCTTTGTGACTATATGTGTGCATATATATATTCTGTATTTTCTTTCTTCGCCAAGAGGCAAGCTCCTTGTTTGTGAAAGATCGTTTTTGTTTCTTGTACATCGATGTAGTTTTGCGGTAGTTCTTTCTATTGGCGAAAACTTCAAGGTTAGATCCGAATATGATACTGCTATTGTCTAGCACGAACAGTTCAATAGGGTTTGTACAACCATACATTAGCAAATTAATCAACAACGTAACGCACATGAAGTAGTCCTGAGCGGATTGTTTGAAGTTATGTCAAAAAAAATTATCATGGTTATTGTTTATAAAGTTATTTTCTTTTTTTGTGTTTTTTTCCCTCTTAAAGCTCAAAC